TGTCCATGTCCTGTATTAAACTTATTTGAGCAATGGAATAAGGAAGGCGTACAAAAAGATGTCAGATTCTGAGGAGAAAAACTGAAGTCTTTTGGGAACTAAAAGATTTATCAAAGGGGTGAAAAGGATGGTTATTGGAGATGTTCCTGAAGGTATATTGGTAGATTAAGGTACTTTTGCTCTTTTGGGAATATCTTTGAAGATAGACCACCATAAAACTGCAGGAAGTCAGAATTTTTAAAGTATTAGCTGCATTTGGCAGTATCAGAGATTTGATTCAAGTTTTGAAGGAATAATGGGAAAAGGGTTTTTTCCCCTACTTAGAAATAGTATAATCTGTTGTTCTGAATAAAATCTAAAGGAGTGACTTACTGACTGGCTCTGTTGCGCAATGGATAGCGCACTGGACTTCTAAAGGAGTGACTTATTAAAAACATCTGAAGGAATATACATGAGTTTCATTTCTTAATGGAAGTATATCCACATTTGTTGTTTTCTCACTTGCTAAATTGAAAACTTGAGTTCAGGTAGTATCGGCACTTTCAAGGGCTTAATCCAAGATCTGTTGAGGCTTTTACAGTTTTATTGCTAGCCCTTACAGTGTTAACTAAACTTCGTGTATCTCTTATATCAAATCATATTTCTTAAATTGTTGATTTGATGGTAGTGATGTTCTTTTCCCTTCAGACCTTTTCACCATTTTCTTTTTGACAATATTTTCCTTTTCAAAACCTGGATTGTGACTATAAAAATCTTACTTGCAAAATGTTGGGAAAGTAATATCAGCTATGAAAGCAGTGAATGGCCAGTAAAATACCAGGACTAAAGTTTTTTTCCAGGATTTAAATTTAGTATAGCATACCAGGTTGGGCATTTTTTATTTTTCTGGTTTGTAGTCTCATTACTGTGTAGAAATTAACTACCAGGTGAGTACTTAACAAATACAGGCAATATCTGGTGTGTTTTCTTGCTGATTTTAAGTCTGGAAAATAACATTAGAAAATCTAAAATGGGTGTTGTAATTTAGCTAAAGTTTGTATCATCTCAGTATAACGCCTTTGAAGTTTTTGCTGACCGTACTTAGAAATTAATCCTGGAAGCTGATAACCCCCCCAAAAGAAAATCCATGAAACTAACACTTTCAGTAGTTTTTATTTTCTTTAATATTAGCTACTTGACAAAATTCTCCTTTTCTGACTTTTTGTTTTTTGACCGGTAGACTTCATTCATTTGTAAAAACATTACTGAATTTATTTAACTCAGTGTGTCAGGCATTCCTCCAGGGGCTGGAGATACAAAGACTCACTGCTTCTCTTGAGAAGGTTCTTTCATTTTCTTCTTAATGCCAGCTGGGACTGATCTGGACACTTGGAGGGATTTGTAAGAAATTCTTTTTCTTTTTAGAAGTGCCTTAGAACTAGCGAGAGCGAGTGATAAAAGAGGAATAGAAAAAGGTATTACTGTATCGTGCTTCCAATTTAGAGTAGAATGTCTTGTTTTATGAATAATCTGTAAATCTATAAATTAGTTTGACTTCAGGTCAGTCATCTATAACACAAGTGAATAGACATCATAGTCTTTGTAAAAATACGTTACCTTCTATTTCATTGCTTGGAAATGATTAGGTTTAGCTTTCCCTCTTGATGTTAGAAATGCTTCAAACTAATAAATAGTATATGCTCACTTAATAGTTTAGTATTGAGAACAAATATTGCAAATAGTCTAATTGATACATTTCAGGAGAATTTTTCAGTGGTATTTATATATAAAATACTTAAATTGTTTCTGATTTGAATATAAGTAGATTTTCAGTAAGAATCTTTGAACATTTAAGTATTTATGGAAAATGTTAAAATGGTAGGTTAATAGACCTTCTTATACCTTGTTTGAGTTCCTTTGTGGCATTGCAGCATTGCAGCATTGCTGATATTGTTAGCTTTGGTTTTGAAATTTATTCTTTAGTGGTTGAAATGCAAGTCCTGAAGTGGAGTACTTTCTTTTTCCCTTTTGAAACATCACATGGAAGAATGCTCTGTTAAAATAGAATTAAGTTAGGTCCTACTGTGTCATTCTTATGAGCCTCCATCAGTAGTATTCTTGCAAAAACTGTTCCTTTCCTGTTTGAATAATGATCTCAATTTGAAAACACCTTTACATTCTTCTATATAAGTGATACATTATCAAATCCACAGTCTTCATAAATTATTAACTCCTGAAGCAAGAGAGATACAGTTCTCCTCAATGATTCAAAATAATTTCTTTTTAGGGAAATCTGTTTGTTAATTCATTTTTGAGTATGAATATGTTGGATATGCAAGTTTGGGTATACTTCAGGCAAAATAAAAAAATTATAACCTGAAAGTAATCTGACTTGGGAGAAATTTATAAGTGGATCTGTTTCTCCAGGCAACTCTCATATTTAACTTATTCTATAACGTAACCTAAGGACATTTGTTCTTTTAATCTAAGTTTGTTGCATTTTAAATTTATATATTCTATCGGGTCTGGTAAATAAATCAAGGGTTTGGAGCTCTTACTGAAGGATAAATTGTACATTTAGACTTATTAATCTGAGCAAGCTACAATTCTTTGGGAGTTGTTTTTCATTTTCAAAGTGAAATGAGCTTATAAACTTAAATTACCAGGTATTTTCTGTTCCAAAATAGAATGCCCCCATTTTGCCTATGTTTTCAACCAGATATATTGTTACTACTGATTGGTATTTAATAAATGAAGGGAAAGTTGGAAAATCATATTTATAGTTTCTGAATATATTTTTAACTGTATCTTAAAGTAGTTTCTAAATATATATTTTAACTGTGTCTCAGAGTACTTAATCAAACCAAAGTAGGTAGTCAAAGTTTTATTTAGGTCTCATTAATTTGGAAATCCTTAATAATTTTCATGGTTTATACTGAAATATCATTAGACATGAAAAAGAATGATTTGTCAAGGAAATTGGTTAGAAAAGGCTAGAGGATGATTGTTTTGTAATTTCAGAAGTACTTTTGTAGCACCTGTTTCTACTGTATAGGTACAATGAAAACAAACAAAATAGCTCTGATGTATTAATTTTAAGCCTTTTTCGTATGTTAAAGACCCACCCCTTAAGGACTCCAGCTGCGGATTACTTTGCTAATCTATTTGGGATTTTTGGACTCTTGAAAATAATTAGATTGCGTTTCTTGAGATACTCAGTACTCAGACTCTTTTTTTCTTTTGTGCTCCTTTCTTCTTGTCATCCCTCATATACCTCCTCAATGTGATTATACTGGAGAATACTGTTTTAAGCTCAAAAAATATAGTTTCTTCAAAACTGAAACACTTTAGGACTTAAAGTCTGTTGGAAATGTATAATGAAAAAATAGCTTCCACAGAGGCTCTTCGAGTACTTTTGTGGTTATTTGATACTTCTTGTTAGCTGGCAGTTTCACCCCCTTGACTTCCTTCAGATTTCTTTTTTCATTTCTTTCTTTAAATTTGGAAAGGTACAGATTTGGTGCTTAAATTTACAGGTTTTCTTTTCTTAGTCCAAACTGTTTTCATTTCTCACTTGTACAGAATTGAACATATTCCTAAAGTACAGAAGGATTATTAGCTTATTCTTTCATCTTCAGGCTTTAAAAAAATTTTGGTCTAACTGTTGCTAGGTAATGGAATAACCATTCCTTTTCAGCTGTTGGTATATTTCCAAACTGGCTGGCAGAGCCAGGAGGAAGCGAAGGCATTAAAACACTAACTTTGGTTGGTTGCTACCTTCTTAGTGCTGAGCCTATAACCTTTGTTGGTTGGTTGATAGAGAACAAGAGAGCACAGTCCTCGTTCCACTAACAGGTAAGGAGCCCTTGTGATGACCAGTTGGTGTGAGAGAAAGATGACTTGGTAGCAGTTTTTCCTTAATTTATCCCAATATATAACAAATCCCTGAAACAGGACACTGTCACTGCCTGTGTTCCATACAGCAGGAATATGCAGCACCTTTCTATTTAGAGTAAGATCTGAAATTTAGTGAGGATGTATCACTCTGTACAACAAAGTATTATTGAGCTGTTTTCCCCTGTTAAAATTTATCCTGCAGTCCCTGTAACTTCAAATACATATCTGCCTATCTTATTCTCCTTTCAGCTTTTCCTTGATCAGATGCTATGTGCTTTGAACTTCCTTCTCTTATTTACCTTATTTCTATAGTAAAGCAAACTATTTTCCAGTATCTTTATCATCATCTGTTATTTGGGTATATCTTACTGCTTTAATTTCTGCATTGTAGCCATTAATGATTATTTCCTGGTCCTTCTTGACCCAAAACCAAATGATCATACATTTGAAAAAGATTTTTTAAGTCTGTATTGCCTATGTCCACTATTCTGCCCTCCCACTTTTAAATATGAGTGCTTGAAGAATAGATCTTTTTCAGTGACAGTAGTCATAGCTTGATAAAATTCAGGTTTAACTTTGTATTGCTACAATATGGGACTGTAGTCTGATTAATTCTTTAAATTATTGAAGACTTAAGAACCAAGAACAAATTCAGCTTCTTAGACAATTCCCAAAGTTCAGTAGTATTCCTGTTAATATGCTCGATTATTCTATTTCTACTTTTCAATCCGTCTTCCTCTCTTTGACAGAAGAATTAACTGGGACTCCTCCTTTGGTATATCTGAAGTCGAGTGCCTTTCCCTGTCCCATTAAGACAACTATGATCTTGTTTCTAGTCCTAATTTACCATTTTTCGATTTGGTCTTCCACTTGAAGTTGAGTGGTTTGTCACAGAATGTGTTATGGCTTCGACCAGGGTAGGTCCCTTCTTAATAGTTACTGAGGAATTAGTCATTTGTGGTGAAAGACTTCCACAACTCGAATTAAGAAGGCACTAAAGAAAGTATGCCCGAAGGTAGCTCTTTTTTATCCTGAGGATAAGTCATTACAAGCTCAAATGACCGGAGAATGTAATTTCTTAATAAGAATTTTTTCTTAAATCTATATTCAGCTCTCTATTTCAGTGCTTCTCTCCTACCAGAGGTGCAAGGAGTGATCCTAGAACCACAGATACAGCCAAGACCACGGAGAGCTTTTGACGTCAGGGGTCCACTTTCTCCACTGAACCCTTGGAGGCAGAATATCCAGCTTCTGGAGAGAGTGGGAAAGGATAATAAACAAGTGGGTGCTTTCCATTATTTACTTGGGTTTATTTATAGATTGGAGTGTCCTTCCATTGCCCGTTTAATTCTCATGTTAAACTCCTTGGGTTCATATAAGAACCAAGTGGGGCTGCAATCTGTTTGTTTTTCTAAGACTGCTAACTAGTGCCCATTCAGAAAAGAGACCTAAAATTTATTTAATTTTCTCTCCAGATAATTAAAGCAGTGGATGATTTGGGGGCACTCTTGATTTGGTGAATGCCTGTGTAGTCCACAGGAATTTTAAAAAGGGTACATTTGCCCATTTTAGTCTTTACTGGTATTCATGGACTTCTGAGTGCTTTTTTAGAGTCCAGTATTTAAGAAGTTCCTTTATTTTGTCTTTGGGCAAGCTGGACATCTGAACTGTACTAATTTACACAGTCTGACGTCCAGATGTTATCCTGCCCTGTTAGTGAGAACTTTTGGGTCTTTTTCCTACCTCAAACTTTAGGACTTCATATGAAGTAGATCTCTAACAAGATGCAATGATAGTACCATTATGGTTTTACTGTCAAATCTAGGCTTCAATCTTTAATAAGGTAAATATGAATGAATTTAAGTTTCAGGATATAATATCCCTGAAAGCTATGTTAAATATACTCACAAGCAGTTTTCCAGTCCCTAGGAATAATGTTACTTGTGTTAAAAGAGCCTTGTCCTAGATTTTCCCCATGGCATTAAGATGGTTTTCTCTTAGTTTCTTTGATGCCAAGGGTAGGATTTGATTCCAGGAAGTTCTTACCATCTACAGTGGATGGAACAGTGGGTAGAACGTGAACTTGGTGCCTTTGGCAAGTTTTCATTTTTCCTTGGTGGATTCCTTCTGTGACTCCAGGTATCTTGATAATGGGAGACCGGTTTATTTGTTCTCTAATTGCCCAGATTTCTTTCAACTGGTAAACATCATACTTCAGCAAAAGGAACTCTTCTAGCAGAGCCTTCATGGATGATATCTGTCACACATGCAGCACCTGCAGTTTGGAAGGCAGTGGTGAACGGAGCCATGCAATGTATCTAGAAGACACAAGGATGAGAGAGCCTCCTGATCTTGTCATTTATAAACTTTAAGATTTACTCTGGTGTACTCTTGGTCTGGAAATGGAAAGGCTCAAATAACGAAATAATTTTTTCAAATTGGAATTTTACATGGTCATGAAAATATTCCTTTCTATTCAGAAGACCGAAATAGAGGAAGCATGAGAGACTTCTTTCAAAAGCAGCTCTCTGTACCTTAAAAGATTTGTGGGATTGAAAAATCACCTTAATGAAGCAGGCAAATTTTTTATTTTTTAGTAGTACAGGAGATCCAAAAAGCTTAAACTATTGTTGCCTGACACTGAAAGGAACTAGTAAATAAGCGTGAACTTCTTAATTATTCCCAGATTATTTTTAATATTAGGATGTACTGTTTTAGCTTAATATTTTTCTAGTCTTGAGCCTTATTCTTATTTGTCAAATCAAAGTAGAGAGAGCTTTTGAGTTCAGTCTTCTAAAAGTAGTAAATACCCGCTGAACTTAAGGTATTGTTCTGCATTGCAGGCATACTAAAGGTGAATGATACTGAAACAAAGAGGTATTTATAAAGGTAGTTAGTAGTAGTAGAATGTGCCTCTGTGTGTGAATAAGTGTTGCAAGATAGCCATCCATCCATACTGTCGATTAATTGATGAAAGTAGTGATCAAAATGTTTTATTTCTCTTTTTGGTATCTATTTATTGACTGAGCAGTCAAAAGCTATTAAAGAAGTTTTTAGAAGTTACCCTATACTGCCAGTTTGTTATATTTGATATAAATTTAATAGAAATTCTCGAGTTAATAATATGGAAGCATCTAAATTTTTTTGGAGTCTTAAATAAGGGTTTTAAGATACCACATTGGCTAAGTTATAACCTGGCCTTTAGTCTTTCTTGGCTATCTGTGAGACCCGTTTCCCCCTAATTAATTATAAACACATTTTTGTATGTATAGTACTTAGAAGTAAGTTTAAAAGATCAGTTTGAACTAAAATTTCCCCAGAGAGCTCTGAATTCCCATAAACGATTAAAGCTTTTTATGCTTGATTTGTTTCTGTTAAATGTTACTATGATAGTTGTTACAAACACATATAAATTAAGAAATAACTACTCACTCAACATTTTAGAAAGAACTCAGGGAATGGAAAGTGAAATTTGCTTGGATGTTAAGTTAGCTGAACTCTGAACTACAGCGCAACCTGTTTTATGGCCTGTGAGATTATTAGCCTTCTGTTTCAGCTTTGAAGATGAAAAGTGATTTAATCTCTTAATTCCATTAATCTCATGCTTTGATTAAATTTTAGCTCTGTTCTTTAAAGTGCTAAAGAAATGTAAGTGCATTTCTATTCACCTCATGCCACCAAAAGCTATTTAAAAATGAAACTTTATGTATATTAATGTGAACTGATTTGTTTATTTAACTTTTATTTTGATACATTTTCCTTTCAGATTTTTAAGTATTTCGTGTCACAATATGCAATCCTATATTTTTCACTGTTTATTTTATGAATATTAATATAAGCTGATTTTTTTCTAGAATGACTAATTGTGTAATATTTGTATTATGTGATCATTTGAAAAACTAATAAATATTTTCTCCATGAAAAAAATGCACTTACTGATAAATGGCTTATTTTTGTTTCAGGAGTAGAAAATGAAAACTACAACAGTATTTTTAAATGTATTTTAATTTTATGTGTCTTCCTCTAAGTATTTCTGAATATATATCCTATCCTTGTGTATGTTAACTTTTTCTTGAGAAAAAAATTATTTTAAACTGTTGAATGAAAATGATTCTTCATTGGGTCACCCAGTGCCAAATGTATGAAATAGGTGATCTATTTAGTCTATTTTTTCATTTTTCTGATTAGCTTCATGTTAGCTTTGTTTCCAGAATTGAATTTTTTTAGATGCCATTTTTGTATGTCAATTTTGCAAATCATTAAAACTCTTTGAGTTAATATTGTAAATACCAGGAGCAATATGGTCAAATCTCTTAAAGTGAGATTTTGATAAACATAACTCCTTAAAAAATAATATACAAAAGATAGTTCCTCTGTGCAGAAAAAAAAATTGAAAATAATGGCCGATTGGAGAGCTTCCCAATTCATAGGTGCTGTTAATAGAAGAAGAAAATATTTCATATTTTATGTTCTGCTTGAACAAATAATTGGAGAGGGAGAAGTCTTGGCTTAAGAGTCTCTTGCTTTTAACCTTGTCAAAACAACATGGAAAAGGATAAAATTCAGTTTTAATGGCTCTTATCTTTATATCTACTTAAACTAATTAAAGACACTGGAACAATTACCTTTTTCTATGCAAAGACTGCTAGAAGCAAGAGGATTTCCCTTTTGATTTGAAGAAAACTCATAGAGAAGTGGACTCCTAAAATTAAAAATAAACTTTATGATGGGGTCCTAGGCAAGAAATAAAAGTTTAGTTAATGACAACTTGTGGATAAAAATGAAATAATTTGGCTCCCTAAAGAAATGATACTCTGGAAAAATGAGAATTATGAAAGGAAATTAGGATTTAGAATAGCTACTGTATTTGGGAGGTGGGAAAGCTAAATTTCTTGGCTTTATTAGTCTGGTAAGTTTGGAAAAGATGAGTAAAGATTCTGTGGGTAAAATTCTGTTTTTAGAATTAAAGCTTCTAAAAGGTTTGCAGACATAATGTATTTCCATGGAAGGTGGAAGGCTATATTTTACTTGAATACAAATAAATTTATCAGGCTTACCTGTATGTTTATAGAGGGGTGGGGTGAAGGGTTAAATAAAAATCTTGCACCAGAAATTTCAAACATAATGTAAAAATAATGGTGAAATGAGAGTTTTAAATAATTTTTATTACATGGATTGTTCCCTACACCATCAGTAGCTTCAAAATAAAAATATTACAGAATGTTGAATGTGGCTTACCTTTATATCTTCGAGGTGTAAGAACATAGGCTTATTGTTTCACCATGATTCATGGGATTAGCTATAGTATTAAATTTAGTTTTGTTCTTTAGTAAGGAAACAGGTTTTTTTTTTTTTTAAATAGCTTCAATTTAAAAAAAAAAGGGTAAATGTCACATAAGCAGTGTGACTGCCAAGTACTGACCTTACTGTAAAAATGTGCACAGATCTTATTTTGCTGTATTGAAACAGTTGAGCAAAATGTCACTGCCTAGATGTCCTAAGCGATTTCTTGCTTTCTTTTTATTCAGGTATTTCCCATTAAAAAAAATTCATATTTATGTAGTCCTAAAATGTGAAAGATTCATATTTCCAAAAATAAGCACTTAAGTGCTCTCTGAAGTTTTTTCCCACTAAATGTACGTCTAAGGTAATTAGATTATTGCAGTAAAAACGCTAGGGAACTTTGAAGTGTGCGTCGGAGTTTTCAGGAATTATGATCAAAGGGATCTCTACTCAAGAGGTAAGGTATGGCATAGGGAGAAAAATGTTCAAAATGTGTGCAATGTAATGTGTGATGGTAAAGTAAACTATAACAGATATCCTTGGATTTTCAGACAGGTGTAGAATTAGGAAAATATTTTTTCTTAAAAATTTCTCCCAGAGAAGAGAAATAGATAAACCAAAAATTTATGACTTTGGAGTGCATTTAGAAACCTATACGCATAGACATCGTATTTTTGTACCTGGCCTGCTGTTTTCCCAGGCATCTCCTTCCCTTGCTCTCTTAATGTTTATGATCCATATTTAGTTTAGTATTTCTTAAGCCCTGAGCACTGTTAAAATACCGTACTTTGCATGGAACATTGAGTACATATTCCATGAGGTTATTGCTTGGTTTCATGTTTGCTGTGTGTGCCTGTTTTTATTAAATGATACCTAGAATTTAGAAAACAGTAGCTGTACTGAGTAATTTTAACTTTGAGAAATTAATTTGCACTTTATAAACATTCACTTACACTGTAACTTGGGAATCTGTTACGTTTAGGATTAAGAAATAATACTGTTTGCTAGCATATGAAGTCATTCAGACAAGAAAGTTGTATTGTTATTCTCTAAGGTATATTAAGTAGGTTCAAAGAATCAAGTATTAGCATAATATTTAGTATATGCAGAAACAGGAAAATGCAGTATTGAGTACAGATGAGCTAGACAGTATGATTTAGGATTTTTTTTCTAGAATTAAATTACTAGTATAATTTACTCAATAGATGGAAACATAGGATGGAAAAGTATTGTGTTTTCTCTCTTTTAAAGCTCGTAGACACTGGCTTTTTAAAAAATTACTTTGCTGTCTGTTCTGCTTTCGCCTTTATGTAGAGCAGATTGTAATGCTGATAGGAACTTGTGATAGCACTCCTGCTGCGGTGAGGTAGCGGACACCGTGTTCACGGTGCTCTCGTGGTGAGAAGTTGATCCAGAAAATGCTTACATGTCATTTTAATTTGAAAATTACTTAAGAAATTACCTAGGTTAGCACCCACATTTTACGTACAAGATAACTGATATCCAGGAATGTCACATACATTTCTAATATCCCACTGTTGATAAACAAAAGGTTTGTTGGGTTCAAGTCTCTTGACTGCAATCCCAAAGATCTATACCTACGTGTACTTTACTGCCTCCTCATGCTAGTCCTAGTTCTGGGCACACAGAGCAAGACACAGAGCAAGTCTAATTCCCTGCAAATATGATTAGCCTTCAAGTATTTAAAGATGGCTATTATACTCCATCAATTCCAAGCACAAGTTTTTTTTTTTTCCCTACAAGTTAAGCACACTTCCATTTTCTTGCTCTTACTCATGTAGTATGACTTTGAAATCCTTAAGGTTTTTGTAGATCTCTGAACATGTTTCAGTTTATTGTTTTTCTTAACGTGTGACACGGAGCCAACACAGTACAGGTGTGCTCAGCCTGTGTTCGGCCCTATAATACTCACACCACTTTGTTTATCCTTACATGTTTATCCAGGCAGGTGCTTAGTTTTACAAGATTCTCTTGGATGAAAGTTACATAGTGATATGCAAAATGTTTTATTTCTAAAATTCAGGCTAGTCTGTGTACAGACTAATGTGCACAGTCCAGTGGAAAAGAAAAAAATTGGCTCAAGGTAGTAGCTAAGACCTTGAGAAAGCAGTCAGAAAAGTACCATCTTCATTTCAATTATTACTTAATTCTGACTCACATGACTGTAAGCTCCGTATTAAATGACTTGCGGAGTCTAAAGTGTTACTTTTCAGGCTGTCCTTAGTCATTTAAGGGTAGCCAGGCCCATTGGAACCAACTGTTGACATGGGACTGACATTGAGAAGAAACTGAATTTATGTTTAATAACAATTAAAACTAGAAATGAAAGGCAGCGCTTCAGTGGCAAAGTGTGAGATGTACCCCAAACAGCAGAAGACATTGAGGCAGTAGCCCTGGCAGTCTGAGAACGTGGCCTAAATTCTGATGTGAGCACAGTTGCCTCTTGAAATACAGTACAAATACTTCCTACAGCAACACTGTTTTGGTATAACAGTGTTTTAAGTTACCAAGTAAGTAGCTCCCTTCCCTCCCAAATTCTAAACTGAGCTCCAGGAAGACGCAAGGTGTTTATTTTAAAGGTTACATGTACCTTTTAGGGCACAAATACCTTTGAGAAACACTGGTTTGAGATACAGTATGTTCTGTCTACCTGATTTAGAAAGAATCTTGAGGCAGATGAGGAAGAAGGGAAACCACCATGTACACGCCCACTCTGTGCAGCTCTTGCTGGGTGCTTCACATCTGTTTCTCTAAATTAATCCAGGTGATCTGTGAGAAAGGTAATTTTTTATTTTACACAAAAAGATGCTGAAACTCAGAGATTAAAACCTGCCCAGGGGCACATGATAAGCAATGAAAATGGCATCTAAAAGATTTGTCAAAATCTAAAGAATTCTGTCATACCATTGATTGTCAAACATCTTTGCCACAAAGAGTGCATATACTCAGGAAAATTTCATATAGAATCACAGTGTTTAAAGTAGCTAAAAGGAATATTTTACTTAATATGCATTTTTAAATGGACTCTTTAAAAGAATTGTTTTAGTTTTACAGAAAAATTGACCAGAAAGTAGAGTTCCTCTTCCCTCCCCATATATCTTGTTACCCTTCCCATAGTTTGCCCTATCATTGACATCTAGCATTACAATTAATGAATTAATAATACTGATACATTATTAGTTGAAATCCATGGTTTACTGGTTTTGCCACATACATAATGTCATGTTCACAATTATAGTGTCATACGGAATAGTCTTACTGACCTACAAATGATGTTCCACCTGTATTCATCCTTCCCTCCGCTCCCCATCCCTGGCAACTACAGATCTTTTTCTGTATCTGTAGTTTTGCCTTTAGCTTTCTCAGACTGGCTTCTTTCACTTAGCAGTGTACAGTGTCTTTTTATGACTCTAGAGTATATTCATTACTGAATGATGTTCCATCATATAGATTTACCACAGTTTGTTTATCCATTCATCTTTGAAGAACATCTTGATTGCATCCAATTTTTGGCACTTGAACAAAGCTGCTGTAAACATTTGTGGATGGGTTTTTTGAGGACAGAAGTTTTCAACTCATTTGGAAAAATACCTAATAGTGCAATTGCTGGATCTTAAATGGTAAGCTTATGCTTAGTTTTGTAAGAAACCACCAAACTGTCTTCCAAAGTGGCTGTACTATTTTTTTTTGCCTTCCCACCTGCAATGAACTAGAGTTCCTGTTGCTCTACATCCTTGCCAGCCTTTGTTGTTGTTAGTGTCTTAGATTGTAGTCACTCTGATAGGTGTGTAGTGGCATCTTACTGTTTTATTTTGCAGTTCCCTAGTAATATCATTTTCCATCTGTGTATTCTCTTCAGTGAGGTGTCTGTTTAGATCTTTTCCCATTTTAAAAATTAGTTTTCTTCTTGTTGAGTTGTAAGAGTTCTTTGTATATTTGTATATTTTGGATACCAAGTATTTTCATTCTCAACAGTGTCTCTCTTTGGCAGAAGTTTTAAATTTTAATGAAGTCTGCTTCATCAGTTTTTTCTTTAATGGATGGCGCTTTTGGTGTTATATCTAAAAAGTCATTGTCAAACCTGTGGTCACCAGAAAGTTTTGCAGTTTTGAGTTTTCCATTTAGGCCTATTTTGTTTTTCTTGCTTTAGGGATTTTCAACACACATAGTCATGTCATCTGCAAACAAAGACAGTGTTATGTTTTCCTTCTCAGTCTTTATACCTTTCATTTCTTTTGCTTGCTGCACTGGCTGGGACTTCCCGGTACAATGTTGAATAGGAATGGAGAGAAGGGGACTTACTTGTCATGATATTAGGTGGAAATCATCTAGTTTCTCACCAGTAAGTATGATGTTAGCTGTAGGTTTTTCACAGATACTTACCACATTAAGGAAGTTCCCCTCGAGTTCTGGTTCATCAGAAGGGGTGTGTGTGTGTGTGTGTGGAGGGGGGGGGTTAATCTTGAATTGATGTTGGCTTTTGTCAAATGCTTTTTCTGCATATATTGATATGATCATATGATTTTTCATTAGCTATTGATGTTTATAATTGACTTTTGAATATTAAATCAGCCTCACATATGTGGAATAAATGGAACTTGGCCATGCTGTATAATTCTTTTAATGTATTGTTGGATTCAATTTGTTAATATTTTGTCAAGGATTCTTAGATCAAGGTTAGTGAGAGATATTGGTCTGTAATTAAAAAAAATTTTTTTTGGAGGGGAGAAGTAATTAGATTTGTTGGTTTGCTTATTTATTTTATTTAATGGAGGTACTGAGGATTGAGCCTAGGACCTCGTACATGCTAAGCACGCACTCTACCACCGAGCTATACTCTCCTCCTGATCTGTAATTTTTTTCTTGTTATGTCTTTGTCTGATTTTGATGTTAGACTTGCCTCATAGAATAAGTAAAGAATTGT